CCAGGAGTTCAAGGACCACCAGGCCGAAGTATCACTGATACAGAAATTCGAGATATATGCGCCAGTGTACTACGAGGTAGATATTTATGACTTTACCAGATGATACTATTTTGTTGAGATAAAATATTGAGATATCTATTAGTATTTTCAAAATCATTGCTATTTTATGAAAAAATCATAGAATGGTGTAATAGTATAATCGGTACCTTATTTTAAAAAGTGAAGTCAAAAGAGCATATCCTCTATGTATGTATAGAGGAAAAGTTGGAATTGCCAGCTATAGCAACGGTACCCTCACGTGACCTGACTTGTTCTTGGTACGATGTTTATGTGAAAAAGTAAAAAGATGTTCCTTTCATTGCTGCGAACATATACAGAGCAGATGACTGAGATGGCAGCACAGATGCAAGGTCCACCTGGTCCACCTGGTCGAGGCCGTCCAGGTCGTCCTGGATCACCTGGTCCACAAGGTCGTCCAGGTACACCCCCAAGAAAAGGGTTACCAATCTCATTTGCCTGCATTCGATCCCACAATTGTAGAACATGATGGTAGAAGTACTGCTATGGTTTTTTAGTGTCTTTCCATTTGTAAAATAATTTTTTCCCAGAAATCCATAGTATACAATGAATTGCCATTGCACAAGAATATCCTTAGCGTTCCTGATAGACATAGCGAAACATCACAATGATTATTGTCGTCATCGTTTAGTCATGAGTTGCTTGAAATTCCACCTTCATCCTTAGTTAGAGTCGGCATTCATCAGCGGCGTGATTCATGTACACGCACGTCCGCTCGATTAACAGTCGATCGATCGAAGATTAACAACTCACGTGGCTGTGTACGTCGATAAAGACGATGGAATCCTGCATGTGTCACAGAGAGGCTGAAAGAACTAACAGAAGGTCTACGAGGGCCACCCGGGTTGCCGGGACTGACCCGACAGGGCCGTCCCGGTCGAACCGGAACCCAGGGCATCCCAGGTACCTACTAGATAAAGTATCCTAACATCTATTCTGCCTGCATTACTTCTTTATAGCGATTAATAATCTTACATTGTATTCGTTTCATTAACCTTCACTGTATTATACTTAATTTAGTAAAGGAAATTAGAAAAAGGAAATAATATCTTCCGTTCCTGAAACAATAAATAGTCAGTACTGAATACCCATAGTAGTAAATAACTTGATAATATATTTTTAATTTCAAAATTAAAATTAAGTTTTCATAAAAAAAAACCATTTCTTAGGTGATCCAGGTCCACCCGGTTTACCTGGAGAACGTGGTTTTGTTGGATTACCAGGCCCACAAGGCCCCATAGGTCCTCAAGGTCCATCAGGTGAACGAGGCGAGAAAGGTGACAGAGGTACTGAAGGCGTTGGTGTAGAAGGTCCAATGGGTCCAAGAGGATTGCCTGGTAATACATATAAACACTTTTCTGTCATTATCACATGGTAAATTTATAATATTTTTTTTTTTTTTCGTATTTTATGTTAATAGGCCCGCCTGGCAATAATGGCGTTGGATTGCCTGGAAGGCAAGGAGAACGGGGGGAACCGGGCAGACCAGGTAAAGAGAAAAAAGTTACAAACACGTTTTTAAATTCTCCTGGTGGTATTTTTAGTTTCGTTTATCGACAGGTGTTCCTGGGATGAGGGGGCCACCTGGAGTACAAGGGTTGCCCGGATTTTGCGAACTATGCAATTATCCGAGCGCCAGTTACTTACAATATACACGTGGCAATGAAAAAGGGCCGTAAATCATAGATATTTTCAAACGAAATTAAATTTTTTAATATAAAAGAAGCAATTACTATTTCAAAAACGATGAATCTTCTGCTCAATAATAGTGATGTGTCAAATCACTGCCATATAAACACAGTACGTTTATAACGGTAATATGTATTTAAATAAAATAAGTATACGTCGTCAAAGAATGATCCATACAAACTACTATTTAATTCATAGCTCAGTATATATGATTCGAATGAAAATGTTTGTAAATGTTGTTACCAATAAATATTTTTTAAATGAAAACGAAGAAATGGGAATAATTTCCTTGACAATTACCTTAAATATGCACAAGTTCTTCGTCGCCACATGCAACTATCGCGCGCGCAATGGTCCAATTCCTTGTTCTTCCGTCTAAAGAGGTGATGGCGCCACCGACAGATACTGCCAGTTGAAATCAGTGATGGCCGCGAGGCTCGCGATGCACATTACGTCGAGATTGCGTTGAGTTTGTTTATCGTAACGTTCCCGTGTCAAAAAAGATTTCGTGACTTTCGTCGAAAGCGGGCGAACATCGTTACCTATTTACGTAAAAATTATGTTCGGATGAATCGTATTTGCTATAACAGTTCATAGAAACGACGCGATTGCTTTTCTTGACAGTTCTGTCCCGTGTTCAGAGTAGCAGTAGCCACTCGAGTGCCACGAGAAGTGTCGTTACATCGCCACTCAGGCGATTTCCTCAGAACAGCAGTCGTCCTAATGATATCGCGTATGTGATAGAACGATACGAAAGTTGTCTTCGTCGACACGGAGACGGCGACCCCACACCCGTCGGCACTTTTTTTCCTCTCACCCTTGCTGGAGACACGCGCATCGAAAGCGTCTAAGGTACGTACACCGGCAAACCAGGTTATGTGTATCGTCGTGTCTTGTAACGGCGTTTCAAACGATTTTGATTCACTGTAAGCGTACTTTTCTATACTTTCTCGTATTATCAGATAAGAACTAACGAATAGGTTATACGTAATTTTATAGTAACGAGGATATTTTGAATTCGTGTTCACTTGTCGGTACCGGGTAAAGCTGTTTGCACAGCATATCGCCGGTAAAAATATATTGTAAAATGTACAATAGAAGACAGTTTGAATGAATGATAAAACTATTTAGAATTGTTATAGGGATACGAATACCGAGTAATCGAATAATGTACAATGAAAGTGATTATGTTTAAATTTGGTTATTAAAGTTGATGTATCGATAGTACTGATACGGTTTCATGGGTGTTAAGAGCTTTGATTTTGCTGCACCTGCAAGTAGAATGTTCCCTTATTTATTTACCGTTATGGTATATTATAACGGCAACGATAAGCCCCGACAAATAAGATTAACTTCATATACGTCTAATGTAATATAACGGACACTGTCCCGGCGAGTATACATCCTATCTGGCAAAGGAAGTGTTTGTTCCCCCCTTAAACGGTGTTCCACTGACACACGTTGCTTCCTCTACTCGGCACCGGTCCAAAACATTATTCTCAGTTGATTCACCATTGTAGTGTACCATTAGTAAAAGTTATTTCATTTTCATAGTATTAAATAACACATCGCTACATAATCGTTAAAATCGATCTATAATCCGATCATGTATCGAAATCGCGTGATGTCTCCAACGATTGACATTTATCCCTGACATTGATACACGAGTACCTTTATTCAGCCTAGATGAGAAATATAGGTTACAAATTTTTACATTTCACCATCGATTATTCTTACTACCATTGCTTTATATGTGACAGTACCATACCATTATCTTGTTCCATATTCCGGATTGGGCGATACGATTAACGATTATTCGTTCAGTTTTCTCAATTGCCTTCTGGAGATCGAGATTACTTTGACAACAATCTGAATTATGAGGAATCTGAAATTGGCCGCTCCTTTTGGCTGCTCCGTTTCGCGCGTTCCTCTGTACGCACCGAAACTGTCCCACATTCCCGACCGTTCCTCTGTCTCCTCGGGCGATCTTATACACCCCCACCTGGCCCACTTATTGTATTGATTCAAACTTAGGCATCCACACGTTCCTCATTCCTTTGCAACTTCCTGCTTTACGATCTTCCTCTGACATTTCCTACTTGATCCTTCCGGCAATTTGTGCGTTACAAAGACAGTAATTCCATCAAGGGAAATGTAGTGGAGAAAATGGCAGGCTGATATAGTTGGGGACTTTCAGGTTACCTGGGAAATTCCTTCCGCTAGCGCGAGCATTGTTCTGATCTTTGTTCCACTGTTCCGTTCATCCGCTCGGCTATTTAATTTATCGTTTACACGTATATTTTTGGTATAGTAATGTTACAATTAGATTGTTCGAGATTTATAACTGATATTATTGATTTCACATATTGCTATTTGTAGTAGTATAGACTCGGGGTCGAATGCTTTTGTCATCAATAGCTTTCGTTAGACACTTTCTCTTTGTATGTTCAGCAATCGATATACTTTTTAGTTCGCGATAAATAAAAATATGACGAATGAAAAATATGTTTTATGCAATCTCAATTTGATAATATAAAAATTCTTTCCACTTATAGAATATCTTCTTTTTGTTGATAAATAAATGTAATTGCTTTGTTTATCCTTTATTTTATGAATTAGTATGTTTGTTTGTTCAATTTGATTAAAAATATTATGCTGCAATTAAATATTAATTAAATGTATTTGGAAATAACTAAATAAAAGAAGTTTAAAAATACGAAATAAATAAATAATTAAATAAGTAATAAATATAATTGAATTTTCGGTATAGATGAAAATCTACGAAAATTATCTATTCTGTACTGCATTGAACACGAAAAAATATTCGTATCAAACTAGTTCAACACAAGGTCTCGTAATAAATTATGATAATCCATTTGTGTCCTCTTGTGTACTGACATAGAACAGTTGAATTAGTCAAACCATGCGAATATATTCTCCTCAGGCATTCAAGTTACAGGCGACTATATTTACCTAAGATAAGTAAAGTCTTTATATTTTGACGATTTTGTACAACATGAAACAGAAATCACTAAAAAAATTTAATTAGGTTGACGAAAATAAACAAATTCTTGCATTTTTCAGATATTGACAATTTATAGAAGTGTTAATACGGTGGTCGCTACGGAAATATCACCCATTTGTTTCATTTATTTTTTCACAAAATTCAAAACAATACCCGACATATCAATTCTATAAATATTTATACACGTCTAACTATGAAATATAAACCTATACCATATTTTTGAATGAACGAGGAATAAAGCGAAGAAATATTTACAAGTGTATAAAATAAAGGTCCACGAAAAAAACGAATAAAGAAATACAAATACAAGATACAAAAGAATATTTGGTAAATTATTAAATACTAAAAATACTAAATAAAAGAAGCAAGGAAATATAACAAATATGGTTAAATAGAAAGCAGATATTTCTATATATATATGCGTATGAATATCTCATGTGAACGCATCGAATTTCAAAATTGGCGGCGATTTCGAAGGTGCGTTGTGCACGGTGGTTCGCTGATTACTTCGCAGAAAGATCGGGATAAGATCTCTCGTACTCTTTCTCTTTCTCTCCCTCTAACTCAGTAAATAAAATTCGCCAGAGGCGCACGCGAATATGTACTTATAGTCCGGTGACGGGGGGCTATCGTAAAATATCGATTAGCCAGTACAGAAACCTACATAGTTTTTACTGCATTTATCGCGGCCGTCTCTATATTTACCAAGCATTCCACGTGGCAATCTACTCTCTCTCTTTCGCTCTGTATATGCGCCGGTGATATTAACCAGATCAACGAAAAAGCTTTGTTCGCGATACAGAAACTAGCTTTCGGTACAAAGCTTTGCAAAACGAATCTCAACGGGATTATATAAGTTATCCTGACGAGGTTTTATCCCTCTGCTGATTCCTTGTCGATTCAGCGTTACGTTTCGTCCTATTTACCGAACGGTTTTCTACTTTGATGTATTTAAGACACTGTCGAGCATTAATCGCTATTGGGCGCGCCGATTGAATCAAATTGAATTACATAAAGCCGATTCGTGAAATTGATTGAACGCTATTGAGCATGGTCACGAAGATATTTATCGGTGTTATTTTTCGTTAAGCTTGATACCTGAATGGCGAATACTGAATAACTTTTTATGGGTGATAGTAACCGATGAGATTGAAAAATATTCAGATACAGAAGAGTAGGTTAACGTAAGAAACGTATGATATAACTTATATAATGAATTTTTTAATGTTGGATAGATATTTATGCAGAATTATCAAATTTCACAAAATTTTCATAGTGAAAGAGACTGCCTAGTTCGACTAATATCTCTTAATATCTGTAATAGAATCTCTTGTTTGCCGAACGATTATTCTAAAGATTAGCTAATTCTTTCAGTGAATGAATTTTTGTTTCCATAAATTTAATATTCAAAATGGGCACCGTCTAAAAATGTAATTCTGAATGTTGTATTTGTTTAAGTATACATAATAGCCTTTTACAAACATTGGATTTCGGGGAAAAAGAGCCTGTCGTGAGCTTATATTGTCCTCGATTAGTAGGTCGTTTGGCAAACAAAGGACTTGACCTCGAATTCTGGCCTAGAACTTTCGTAAATTTTTTATTTTCCTAAAATTCTTGTTTCGTTTTCTATGATACAAGACGTATTACTTCTCTCATTTAAATATCCTTTATATTTCTCAATTTCTCAAACTTCCTTGTTGTAGACAATATCAAACAAATTAAAAATTAATTTTCCTCAATTTGACTCACCAAATTAGCCTGCTTTCTTAAGAAGTAACTCAACACATTATTCAATCGACAATCTTTATCTAATCTATTAGAATTTTCCTAATCCAAATTCAACCTTCTCCGAATATTACTATTTTTAATTGTCTGACCTTTACAGGGTTAATTACTTCTCTATTATCGACCGTTTCTAAACGACACATCAGTATACCCTAAAAATTTGTATTCACAGAATATAGAACGTACAATCACATCCATTGTATAACTCCACGTTGGAAAAATCGATACTCTTCGGTTTTTAGAACTGACGAAGATATTATTATCGCGACGTTGCTAGTAACCTGATGCCATAGTCAATCGAGCAGAACGTAGAATCGATATATACACACACGTAAGGAAAACGTTCGAAAGAAAAGGAAAAAAAGAAAATGATGGAAAAAAGAGAGGAGTTTCAACGTGTATATACCGGTTATTGGAGTATACGAGGTGGCCGAAGTCCGGAAAGCAGTTACGAAGTTCATTGCGCCACGTAATTAAAGCGCGAAGTGGTGAACAATGCGAGAACCGTCGATGCCGGTTCGCCCTTCAAACAAAACCTCTTCACCTCGCGCCGTTTGCGTAACAGACTTTAATGACTGTGAACGAAGCTCACCGGAGGAATCGTATCTTCATTCATTTCCAATAATCAGCAAAGAGCTAATAGAAATCTGCTGATGCTCTGATGTTCCTTGGTTTAGAGTAATGACTTCAAAAGAATAGGTATTTTCATTCGTTCTTGAGAAATATTCGTTTGACTAATCGTTAAAAGGTTGTTGTAAGTAGGAGATTCATGATCTATAATGAGTTAAAGATTGGTTAGGAAGAATAATGAGTTAATGAACAATGAACTAATAGACAGTATTCTATTATGCTATAAATAATTAGAAAGACAAAGTATTAAATGAAGTTGTCGATGTACCTCTGATCCTTCGATTTCGATGATTCTTGTTGTCCCAAATATTTCTAGATTCCAAAAAATGTTCTAACTTTTCTAATAATTTTTATAATCTTGTAGAAATGAATATCTTAGTGATTTAAATAAAATCCTTTTCAAATATCGTTG